CCGCAAGTTCATTCTCATGTTGCACATTTCGATCTTTGGGCCTCTTCACACGACTCGCGAAATGTGAAAAAGACAAAAATCTGGCGGGTGCATCTGGCCATGTTCTAGCCGCAAGTTCCTTCTCATGTTGCACATTTCGAGAGTGGTGTGGCGCCGCCCTTTGTCGTGCTGAACTGGGGTGTAGTTGACTTTTCGGGTACCCTCTCATCTGACTGAGCGGTAGGACTCGAAAGTTCGCCCCCCTAGCATCTGCACGGGCTGTTTGATTGAAGTGTAGGGGGGGGAAAAGGAAAACAACGGAGTCACAAAAACGAGGAATAATTGCCCTAATATGGGGCAAGATACAGTTTGCAATTGCACGTTGGGCACCCTACACCTGGCCAGAAAGCTGGGTTGTATACATTGCCCGAACTGCAATTCGAAACTGTATCTTGACCCGTAGTGCAAGCATAGCTCACTTTTGTTGACTCCCGCGTAGGTCTCCCCCTGGCCCCCCAAAAGAAGGACTAGAGGGTCTGAGCGAGGGGCAGAGACATAGCGCACAGTGGCAAATAAACACACGGAATCACGCACAGAAACACACGCACACAGAGATGGCAGCGATGGAGGCTAAGAGAGTGCGTTGTGCTGTGACAAGGAATGCAGTGGACGAGGAGGCTCTTCCTCTTCCTCTTCCTCTTCCTCTCCCTCTCCCTAGGGAACTGTACGTTGAAGATTTGCGGAAAGACGTGCCCTTCAGTTTTCTGACGGCGAACGGGTCATCGCCGTTGACCGTGGATCTTGTGATCTCTGGCGATAGGAGCGGAGAGAATGGCATAGGCGCGGGGGGAAGGAGGCGGGAAGGGCAAGGGGAAGCGGAACTGGGGGAACTGGGGGAACTAGGGGAACTGGGGGAACTGGGGGAAGCGGAAGCGGAAGCGACTGGTCTGAAGCAGCGGAACTGCGTGAAGGCAGAGGACAACAGTGGGCGGTGCATACGGTGCAGGTCGCTGCCAATCACAGAGCCAGAGGCAAACTCGGAAGAAGAAGAAGACTTCGGAGGCGAGAGAGAGGCGTACCTAGCCGCAGTTCTGGCCAGGTTCCGGCACACCCTCGCGGAGCGCAGTAGATATCATCTGGGTTACCCTTTCAACCTCGATTTTGATTCTGGACCTTTGTCTCAGCTGCTGCATTGTTTCTCCATAAACAATCTTGGTGATCCCTTCATCGAGAGCAACTACGGTGTGCACTCGCGGCTCTTCGAGGTTGGTGTTCTTGACTGGTTCGCTCGACTGTGGGATCTGGAGAAGGAGGAGTACTGGGGTTACGTCACCAACTCCGGCACGGAGGGCAATCTGCATGGTGTCCTCCTTGGCAGGGAGGTGTTGCCCGATGGAATTCTGTATGCGTCAACAGATTCTCATTACTCAGTCTTCAAGGCGGCAAGGATGTATCGAATGGAGTACGTGAAGGTCAGCGCGCTGACCAGTGGAGAAATGGACTGCGCAGATCTGGCGTGCAAGCTGTCAGAGAGGAAGGACAAGCCGGCAATTGTCGTTGTCAACGTGGGGACAACGATGAAAGGCGCAGTGGATGACCTGGACTCGGTCATAGCGACTCTGAAGCGAGGCGGTTTCCCGCGTGAGCGCTTCTACATCCACTGTGATGGCGCTCTGTTCGGCCTGATGATGCCCTTCGTCAAAAAGGCTGCCGCAGCGAGGTTCAAGGTGACCTTTAAGAAGCCAATAGACAGTGTCAGCGTCTCCGGGCACAAGTTTGCGGGCTGCCCGATGCCCTGTGGCGTCCAGATGACGAGAATCTGCCACATCGAACGGCTGGCGAGGAGTGTGGAGTACCTGGCCTCAAGGGATGCTACCATCATGGGCAGTCGAAATGGACACGCCCCCATCTATCTTTGGTATACGCTGAGTCGCAAAGGGTACCGGGGGCTCGAGAGAGAGGTAGCGGCCTGCTTGACCAATGCCCGGTTCCTGTACCGTCGGCTGAGGGAAGAGAAGGTTGGGGCCATGCTCAACTCCTTGAGCAGCACTGTTGTGTTCGAGAGACCACGGGAAGAGGCGTTTGTGCGCAAGTGGCAGCTTGCTTGTCAGGGGAAGATTGCTCACGTTGTTGTCGTGCCAAGCGTCACAATGAACAAGCTGGAGGCATTCTTCAGAGAGCTGCTCGCTAGCAGAAAGAAGTTCTTCGGCGATGGCGTCGTCGTTCCGCCGTGCATTGCCGAGGACTTGGGTGCGGCCCACTGTGAATGTCCCGACTGTCGTGCATCTCGAGAGGGCGCTGAAACACAGCCAGCGGGCCCAGCAGGCCCAGCTCCGCTAGGAAAGAGCCACAAAACGGGACTGTCACAGTGGCCCTGTGGTACGCCATAGGACCATAGCGCTTCGCCGTATGTTAACTCGTCAGATGGCAGGCAGCATTTCAACGTTTCCGGACTCTCATGGTGTCCAGATTCGTTCACAATGTTGGCCATTTGCGAGTGGTGCGGCCAGAACCTTACTCCTGTGCCGACCGCGCCCCATGTGTTTTTTCCTGTGACTTCGGTCAGCACTGACTCAGCAGCGGTTCGGTGAGAGAGCGTTCTTTGACTAAACAGATAACCTTTTTTTTTCTTTTTTTTTTTTAAGCTATATTCTTCTCTCAATTTCACCTCACACTACCTACCTACCACTACTCCTAATTGTACGCATACTCAGTTGGCAAGGCTCGCAAGTGGCATTCAGTGGCGTTCAGGAGGTCGTCGGTTCAATCCCATTGCGCTCATGTACCTTCCTGGGCATGCTTGGCGCCCACCACTGGTTCCCCCGATCGGCATTGAGCAGAGTCTGCTGATGTTCGGAGGGGAGGGGACCACCACCTGGGGGGAGGAACAGGGATTTGTCCTGTTGGCATGGTCCCTGATGCTACCTGCTGTCCCCTACCCAGCCCGTATCGCCCACCTGCAGGTCGGGAGCCGGCCCCCCATGTTCTCTCGTGAACACGGTTCTGGCTGCCACGGGGTTCCCCTTATGCCTACAATTAGGAGATCCCTATTAGATCCAACGGTGCCGAGACGTTGACAATCAAACGGTGGGTATAGTCATAGGTAGGTATGGTCAGCTCGTCCCCTCTCAGCATCATTAGACCTGGGTGCTGTTGATTTGAGCAGCTTTAGCTAAGCAGCAGGCTGTGAGATGGCAGGGGTCCGTGCAGTGCCTCCAATGCTTTGTCTGTCAGCCTGTCAGCCTGCACGGGGCTGATTGGAGGGTGTTAGGGCATGGCCACACCACACTCGAAATGTGCAAAATGAGAATGAACTCCCCCCTAGAACATGACCAGATGCACCGGCCACAGTTTTGTCTTTTTCACACTTCCAGAGACTCAGTCGAGAGTGGTGTGGCGAGGCCCTTAGAGAGAGGAATATATATATATTTTTTTTTTAATAATGGCTCCGTTCTATTCGTGGGGAGCAGCACGTGATGGGAACCGGGCCCATCGTCCCTCGTATATATACCGAGGCCGGGGTCCTCACAGTCTACCCGGAGTAACTGAAGAATCTGTTAGGTTGTTAGAGCCGGGAGCGTTACCCGGTTTCGCTTCCACTTGCTATAGAAAGAGTGAGGTAAGGAATTGACTGATTATTCGAGTCTGAAATTGTTGAGAGCGAAGTAGTACAGTTGTAAGGAGGAGGGATGATGAGCTGAGAAGAATGTTAGTGGAGTAAAGGAGACATGGATAGGCCCTCTCAGCTATGATTGCTGTCGGATTGGAGGATGAGAATTGACGTGTTCCAGGCCGCCACAGGAATGTGATGATAGTTACTTTTCGAGCAATGTTTCTGGTCTTCTTTTCAAGGAATATTCAGAAGCGCAGCAGCTTCTTTTTCACTTTTCTTTTTTTGTTTGTTTGAACTAATCTAATATTCGTCTCTCAATCTTCTGTGTATATATTTTCGGCATCTAGGTCTCGATCTCGGTTCTCGTTAGTGACGACTGTTTTTTCTGTCCTGTTTTTTTTTGTTTGTTTTTTTTTTGCAAAAGCAGCTCAAATTCATTTCAGTCAACATTTGGATCGAGGCCGGGAACCTCACAATTCAACCCGAAGTTATCCCGGCAGCTTCAGCCGGTTTAGCTTAACAAATCAATCTCTTCGTATACCGATGTCTGCCCTACATTCCTTTCCTCCTAATGTACCTTCTAGCTTTAATTAATTATTATTAATTACCGAACCCCACCCCTCAGAACTGTCGAAGGCTAGTTCTTCTACTTCTATTTGTGTCTGCCCTGTCTGCCCTGTCTAGAGAGTCCCGTGCGCAGACCTATCATCCATTTAGATTCTTTTTTTTCTTCTGCAGTAGTGAACGTGATGTTGACGCGGTTTTCATGTTCTTTTTTCTTTTTTATTTTTTATTTTTTGGACAACTGTTTTGATATTAAATAGCAAGGACTGGGGCCGGGGACCCCACACCTTAAATAGCAAGGACTGGGGCCAGGGACCCCACACCTCAACCAGGGGGCTAGGTCCCACTAGCACGAATTAAGACATAATGACCGTAGATAGCGAAGATCAACGGCCGAAATCTCCTAATTTGCGCAAGTGGGACCTTCCCCCGGGTTGCTGGAAAACAGGTCCAGCGTCCTGTCTTTGGTACCAGACTGGAAAACAGGTCCAGTGTCCTCGAAGGCAGAGAAAGAAACTACAAGCTGGAAACCAGGTCCAGCTTCCTTTCCAGAAAGACACTACTAGGAAGTAGAGAACCTCTCAGCCCAAAGGGCTGCCTGACTGGCTGATGTGATCTGGTTCTCTGTATTGGACATTTAAGCTAGGTGAAAGAAGACTAGTTCAGAGATCATAGTCGGCACCATGTCTTTGTTCTGCTATTGCCCTTAATCAAAATCGTCCATATTTGTTGGGGATAGCTCATTAGTGTTTTCCTCCCATAAATGTCGGGAAATAACCAAATTACCCTGCTGAGGAAATGAAACCCATTTGAAATCCTCTTTCCATCTTGAAATTAAACCACCAGTACCTCGCTCAGCTATTGAATCCGAGCCTCCCAGCACGCTGCGCGCCAAGTCCTGCCGAACCGCCGTCGCAATTTTCTTTTTCGTTTTGCCTGCGGCCTGCCGAACCGCCGTCGCAATTTTCTTTTTCGTTTTGCCTGCGGCCTCCAGCCAATGCGGTCCGGCAGGCCGAAGCCCAAATGGCGCGGCACGTATACGGGAAGCGCCGCGGCCGATAGCTGGGCCAGGTACTGGTGGTTTAACCTGATCTGCGCTGTCCTCCTTTGATCTGAGGACCAACACAGCTTCCTCCATTCTGCTCAAATGAGGTTATGGACCGAGAATTTGAATTTGTTACGGATAGCGGAGGGAGACCAGAATTTCGCCTTAAATCTTCTGTCCCTCCTGGCGAGCCACAGAATCCAGAAACCCAGGGCTCTGAACTTGTTAGCAATTTTGGACCGGTTATCTGATTGGTTACTCCCTAGCATAATATTAAACTCTTTAGTCCAATGGCATACCTTTCTTGGGCCATAGGCAAAAAAACATAGGGAGTGGACCCAGTCCACAAAACCTCTGGCCAAGATGCATTCCCACCACAAGTGACTTGAATCCTCCAGACATAGTGGGGAGATATCCATCCCTCTCTTGGTGCACCACTCCGCTGTGGGTACACTTGAATGCAGATGCAGGCTATCATGCAGCCACTGGAGCCCAGCGACTTTAACTTCCATAATACTTAGACACGAAAAGCTCAGCCCATGTTCTGCAGGAGGGCCATTCTGAGACTGGGTTTCTCGACTTCCAGCTGTTCCAGGTCTTGGCCTGGAATGTGGATGCTCTCGATCTAAGCGAGTAGCCCAGTTTGGATGAATAGTCTGTGATTAGCAATGTGGAGCTGGTTGCCCTTTCCGCTGAGATTACCCAGCCTACCCTTAGCACGTCCACTTTCCAGTGCTTGCAGGGGGTGCCTCTCAGAACTAGCGAGAACCTCTTGCTGCCCTTGTACACCTGTTCAGCGATCTTTGCCTCTTCCCACCCACCTTCTGTGGGTGGGGTGACCGTGTCCTGCTGTAAGGAATTCTTTACCCTGGGACCATACTGATGCTACCACAGATGGCTGGTCTTCCTGAGTCTCAATCTTGAAGAACCGCTCTTTCTTGCCTGGTTCACACCACCATGTGTCCTTCTGCCACTTGATCCCTTGTGTTCTCAGACTGTTGATCCACTCCTGTGGTATTGCCTGCTTCATAAACTCCATGTTCTGGTCAATGTTCCGCAATCCTGCCAGCTTGTGCTTGAGTTGGTTCACTGTTTTCCACTGGCCATTGTGTTCATCAATCAGGTGGCGGATCTACCATACCCGCCGCTGCATCCATTTCCTGGCAAAAAATTGCCAGTTCTGTTTGCAACAGAGAAGGGCGACCCATGGTCGTCCCTGATGGCAGGGTTGTCGAACAGGCAGGTACCTAGGATGATCTCTCCTTCAGTCTTTGGATGGGATATTGTGTAAAGTAGGATTCTACTCCAAGTTTTCATGTTTTTCTGCAGTAATGAATGGGAGGTTGACGTGGTACCTTGCTTTAAATTTGTTATGATAAGGAGGTCAGGTCCTGGAGTACCTGACCGGTCCTAGTGTCTGTATACAGGTGGTGGTCCTTGGTACGTTTCTTAGGAGGTATTCGGTTTGCGAGGCTGTAGTGTGCTTCATGATCTCTGGATTTCTTTGTCAGACGTCAAACTTTTTTTTTTGGCCTTTTTTCGCCTTTTCCTTCTTCCTTAGTCCCGGCCGCAAGTCCTTTCCGGCCATTGATCTTTCACAATAGACGGTCAGAAATAGAGCGTTTGGTTAAATGGGACTTGGCCCCAGGTTTCTACGTTCTAGGTGGAACTCGGACTAGCCAGAGCGACTTATAGCCCTGCCCTACCCTAGAGCTAAGCCGTGCATGAGTAGACCCTGTCGTGTACCTGATAGCCCCCCCCAGCCTGGTATCATAGTTGTCACAGTGTGTATATGTGTGCCCAGAGGCTATGTATGTTTTGTATGCGCCCCTAGGCTATGTGTATATATATTCACGAGCCATGTTTGTCTCTTACCGAAGGCTATGTGTGCCCTGTGGAACTGTATAGCAAGATGTATGTGCCCGAAGGCCAGATATAGGGCCTTGCTGCACTACTCTCGAAAGGTGAAAAACGAGAGACTCAGTGAATCTTCCGCTAGAACATGGAAAGATACAGCAACATGATTTTTGTCTTTTGTGCATTTCAAGAGTAGTGCAGTGAGGCCCATAGTGGAAGCGGAAGTGGCCGAACCTTGTGGTACGGGAACTTCGGACGCCAGGCTCTTGCAATCTTCTACAGGCCCAATTCAGAGAGTCTACCCAGCAGGAGTGCCTAAGCAAGGCAAGCC